TTAATAACATAAAATTTATAAATTTTATGATATTTATCATGGTAACCCAATAAAAATAAAAATAATGCTCACCTGTTTGAATTTTATTTGATAACGAGGATCTGTTTGCCCTTTTGCCCAGACCAAGTACCCTTCTACTGATGGATTTGGATAGCATTTGACATATAGCCACATCAGCTCCATAGCCATAGCTTGGCGATAAATGTTGCAGACCGAGTCCCACGATTTATAATGATCATGGTGTTTCTTAAAATAAGCTAGTTGATTTTTAGTTTTTACCCTTGACATCTTGCGAATTGTTTGAGATCGATATCCCTATTAAATAATAGGGTTATATGAAAAAAATAAAAATAAAAAAAAAATAAAGTATTTAAAAACAATATTAAGTTTTTACCAATTTAATTCCACATATGCACGAAGTATATTCATTTCCTCGTGCAATGGTCTAGGAACGAGAATTAGCCTCGAATATTTCTCTTTTATTTTTGCTACACAATGATATGGAATGCCGTCACATGTTATGACTACCCATTTGTGTATCTCACTGCTAATATCTGAAATTTTTTTTTAATATGAAGAAAAATCTTTTTAATATTTGCAGTAGTATTAGGATTAATATCAAGGGGGTCGGAAACAAAAATTTCTGGAACGTTAACTTCTTCGTCGGCATGTATTTTCTGAGTAATACTAATCTTTGGCGTAGAAGATTGTCGAGCTTCTTTTTCAACATTATATGGTCTAAAAGTTATTGACTGGTCTATCGTGTCTTCTTCTAATTCAGCATGCTGTCTAGACGTTTCTGCTAATGTGAGCAAATGAAATTTACAATCCGGGCAAGTTTGCTTTCTGTTGTTAATATCCTTTTTTTTACAATTAGGACATTGTTTGCTGCAACGAGTATTTAAACCTAAATTAGATACAAGAACATCAACTTTATTAGTTAAAGATAATTTTTTTTCACATAATAAATTAAGAATTTCAAAGAGATAAGCATGTAGTTCTTTGTCTAAAGCTTCTTGCATTTTAGATGTAGTTTCGAAAAGACTCTCGTATTGCGATCTATTAAGAGTACTCGATACCCAAGGCATTTTAGTGTGTTGAATATAATTTTGTGATTCTATATTAAAAGCAGCAAAGCTAGTAACAATATGAAATATCACCGTGTTGAGTCCACGATCAAGATAATTTTTCTGCCCCCTTTGTTCATTGTCAAACGCTAAAAATAAAAGACCTTCCAGTAGAGCTTCTTCTTTTTCTGACAATTCATTTAACCAGTTCTGGAAATGAAAATAACTTCCTGAATTTGTGATATGGCTATCGATGTTAATAACGGTTTTTGATCTTGCAATAGAATATTTAATTGCTGATGATACGAGGTTCATTTCCGATACATATTTTCTATGTCTGGATCTATACACTAAATCAACAGCCGTAGCCTTTTTGTAAATTTTCTCGGCACTTTCAGAACCTGTGTTGGAATTATTATATATTAGTGTTTCAATAAATTTTACAAGAACCTGATTGCGTTTACTTAGCCACACATGGGGGTTATAGTTAAGTAGGTTTTCCAAAGAAAACCTATGATTATCTCTAATTAAAGCCTCAATATCCCTATATAAAGATTCTCGTTCAATTAGTGCAATGTCGGTTACCACTTGTATGTGCTTATCCTGATCACAATACCGTGAATCCTATTGTTGGAAAAGTTGCTCAGTTATACCATGTTGCTTTTGAAATAAATTATTTAGATGATTTATAACATTATTGTGATTATCTAATTCCAACCTCATCTATGATATAATCTGCTCTCTATCTTCTATCTGCTGTTGTAAATTTTGACACCACTATATATTCGTTGATTCTTTGTTCTTCTAGTTTTTGTTGCAATTCAGCAATTGCTTGTTTATACTCTTCTTCGCGGATATTAGAATCGTTAATAGAAATAGGATTACTGGAATTAGGGTTATCTAAAAGATGCCGATAAAAATAATTAGTGGATATAACTTGATTATAGTGTTTTTCACAAATTGCATAAGGATTCAAGTAAAGTTTTAATTCAGACATAAAATCTTCATATAATCTAAGCCGTTTAGTCACTTCTGAAGTATCAGCATTCCTCCAGGTCTGTGATTCCTTCGTTTTACAAGATCTTAAGCCAAGTTCATTATATTTGCTAACTATGTAACTGAATAGGCAGGGAAGTTCTCTGGCTTTTGGCTTCTCTTTAGTAGTCGAAGATTGTGATATCTTTACTCTTGAGTTTTGTACACACGCAAATAAAAAAAAAAGTTTTAGTCGCAAATTTTAAAAGATTTAGATATATATTTTTGTATTTCTTTGAACATCATCTACCTTTTTAGAAAATACTGATTATTAAAATGTCTCAACTGATTATGTGACTAGAGGTTTTTGACTTTCTTCTTATATATCGATTAGATATTATTAGTTAATTATGAAAGCCACAAATTTTAACTTTTGAAAAGATCGTTAAGAGCCAATCACAGCTCAGGGATTTTTCATGGATTATTCCAGAATGGTTCTAGAATCGATTTCCAAATTTGGTATATTCCCAGACTGTAATAAAGTTTCTACATTTGGCAATATATAAAAAAAAAAAAAAAAAACTATTGACCAATTAAATTTGAAGATCAGATGTAACATGCAAATCAATTTTGTGTAACAAAAATAAAATTTTTTAAAATTTCGAAATAGCTCAAAATGCTATTTATGAAACTGCCTTTTGAGCTCTAACAAAAAAAATTTCTCACAAAATTTTAGTATATACTAACTTTACCCTAACTGCTAATCACTAACCCTAACCCTAACCTAATCTAGTATTAATTTTTGGCGTATATAAATTTGTTGTTACACAGATCTACAAATTATAATTTAAATATACATGCGATAAATTAGCACATTGCATAGTGTGATATATATTTTTCCTTTTTTATATATAGAAGAAGTTTTTATATTGTATATAAATTTTTTTAGAATATTCTATAGAATAGGTGGACAATATAAAAAATAAACTCTACTACTAATTAGTAATTATTAATAAATATTTAGCAGAGTTGCTGAGTTTGTGAAGTCTGCCCACCTATTTTATAAAACATCTTTTTTTTATTATATAGTTATAGATTTAGACAGAATAAAAATTTAGCAATATTAATTATATTCTGTATCTCTTTTTTAAAGTTTACTATTAGAGTTATATTATTTTATATACTAGTTCTACTATTTTATTTTTTCTTCTTTCATTTTTCTCTAGATTGTTTCTATACTCTATTTTAACTTTTGTATCTCAGTTATATTTGTAAAGTTTGCATAGCTGAGAATTAAAATAAATTTCCTAAAAAAAAAAAGAAATTATTTTTTCTTAGTCTATTTTTTATTTCAGTATTCTGCTAATATTAATACTAAAGTTAATATACTTTACTATTATATATTTTGTAATTTATATAAAAGGGCAATTCTATTTTTACCTAGGTTAAAATTATCTAATGTTTAATTTTTATTATATTATATAATATAAATCTATATAATATTATTAAAATTAGTTTATATTAACAATTAACTAGCCAATATATAGAATTTTTAGTTTTTATAGTAGCTTATATTATATAATATAATAAAAATTAAATATCAGGTAACTTTAACTCAGGTGAAAATATAATTTTTTTATATAAAATCATATAATTAAAATTATTAACTTAGAAATATAGTAATATAGTAGTTAAAGTATATAGAAGTAAATTGCAACTTCAGATAGCAAACAAGAGTTTGGTAATTATTAGTTCTACAGTACCGGCATTTGTCATTTAGAAATAGTTCTCATACGCTATTTGCTGACAGGCTTAGAGTTTATTACTTACTATCTATGTTAGTTAGCTAGCATTATTTGTATACATGAATTAATTACTAAAATAAATACCTGGCAGATACGCCAAAGTTAAAAAAAAAAAAAAAAAAAAACTAGAGTTTGATTTTTCTAGATATAAAATAATTAAAAATTTTATTTGTATTATAGTTATTATTTTTGTTTGTTAGCTTAGGTATTACCAACTAGATTAAAAGTTTTAAAAATAGATATATTATATTATTGTTGTTTTTTAGTATTACTAACTATATTTGGAAGTTTAAAATATTTGTATTATAAAGAAATAAGCTAGTTCTAAAGTTAGTACAAACCCAAAATAAATCTCTGTATAAACAAATTTTAGAAATATATAAACAGAAACCTATTATATATATATATATATCCAAGTTTAGCATTATACAGAATCTATTTAAATTCTAAGTTAAAAAGTAGTATAAGCTCTTTAATAGTACTACAAAATAAACTAAAAGTAAAACCAAAACCGACAAACTATCTAAGTAAGAGTTTTTAAATAAAAAGTTTACTAATATAGTTGCTAAAATTATATATAAAAAATATATATATTTGAAAGTATAAACTAGAAGTTAGAAAACTATTGGTATTTAAACTAGACAAACCAACTTTTTTGAATAATATAATTTGAAAAATATGTAAGTCAGAAAAAGAACTATGAAAATGATAAAAAGTGAGTACTGAGGTTTTGTATAAACTTTAATAAAAGCAAGTATTAATAGTAAAAATAACTTCTAAGTGTGTAAGTCAAATTATGGTATAAGCTAACACAAATTCTAAATAGATGGTAAAAACTATCTGCCAATAGTAAACACTGGATATAAATATATTAGGATTAGTTAAATCTAGATAGGTAAGATTGGGTAATACAATCTTGTAATTATCAATATATAATAAGACTCTCATAGTTAACTATATATTAAACCATCAACAAACTACTAGTATTTGGATGTTTAAATAAAAAAAAAATTGTTAAGTTATATATAAGTTATATATAAGTTATATATATTTTACTAATATAAATTTTATTGTAACCCATGTAAATTACTTGTAAGTTATATAAGCTCTAACTAACTCCTAGAGAAGAAATTATAAAATTTGACCTGATGTTAATGCCGGTAAAAATTGGCACATTATTCGGCCAGCCTTAATACCTATATTGTAACTTACATAAAAACTCATGTAAATAAATTATTTACCGTAACTTACCATGTAAAGTAAGTTGTCAGGCAAGATTAACAACCCTACATGTAACTTACGATATAATTTACAATATAAGTTACATTGTCGGATAAGTTATAGTTAAGGTAAAGATTAGAGTATAATTTAGGCCAATCAATGTCGATCAGTTACTACTGGCCATAATCTCATATGAGTGACGGACGCCAAGAAACTTTAAAATTTTATATGATTGAAGACCCATTTTCACTTGGCGACACGTACAATTACTTTTTGAAGTACTTACTAAGCAAATATATTAAAGCAAGGTCTGTTAACGCGCCAAATATATATTGTTTAAAGAGTATTATATGATTCAAAAAAATTCAATACGTATTACATGTTATATACAAGCTATTAAAATTCGCACGTGCTACGTAAGTACAAGTTAAAAAAAAAACGGTTCCTAAACTTATTATACGTGGTTACTGACATTTATGTAGGAATAAAACTGTAATTTAAACTAAAAAATATTTTTTTTTTAATATATATATATATATATATATATTAGATACTCTAAATGGTTTAAATTATCTAAATATATTAATAACCTAAATATTTTTGACGTTTTAAATAATTTAAATCTTTTGAGTACTTTTGAATACTTTTGAACACTTTTGAATATTATAAATAAATATATACTTAATCTAAACACATTAATATATATATGTAGATTATATTCGGTAAAAAAAAACATGTATATGGTATATATGATACGTATTTAATTGTTACTACAAGCAAGGGTGGCTTAACTTTGATTTAATACGATCAAAGAGAAAAACAAAATACAATTGGTATAAAAATCTATAAAATTAAGGAATTGATTTGTACTTGCATCTTTGGTAACAAGGAGACACGCGATAATTAATTTTGTGCAAAAATATATGAATACAAGCAATAGAAATTTTCAAGTGTAGGTTGAGGATCGACACCAAAGCAAGGAAGTTTTACATGTATACCTAGAATAAGGGATGGAAGATCAAGGGAAATCTCACGGATTTTGAAATTATTTGTTCTTTTGTGGATTAGAAATTTATATATGCATTTTAACCTTTGCTGACATATATGAACACATATGTACATAATCCGTGTAAACCTTTAGGTGTGTGCGTCGGTGCATAGGTAAATGGTAAGTTAGGGACCAACGTACCAGTAAGTAGGTACGTACGTATGTACGTACGTAGGGTAGGTAGGTAGATAGGTAGGTATATAGGTAGGCAGGATACGTATTATATCTGATATCAATAGATTATACGTACGTACGTACGTATGTGGCGTATATACAGTGCAATCTCAGATCTAATCCTTTACAATTATAATTATAATTATAATCAATGATTCAAAACCTTATAAAGAAAAGTAGTACTTTTAAGACGAACGAGATAATCGGGTAATCAATAAGAGTAAAGAGAATTCTTGAAATTCATTTTTGTTTATAATCAAATAAATAAAACTCATCATTTTTGTAATGCAAAAAGCCAAACCGAGTATTTAAGGACAGCCTTATCATGTTTGCAGGGTCTTTGTCTTGAATAGGCCTCGAATAGGTTTTATTAGCATTGTGATATAATTGGTACTGCAGAATTTGTTACATGTTTATGATATTTAAGGATGGTTGGTGCGGATCGATTAATTACTTAGAGGAAAAGGTGTTACCTACGTACTATATTTACATTATCATATACACATATATATATACATACGTATATATATATATATATATATATATATATATATTTATTTATTTATTTATTTATATTTACTTATATATATATAAATTTTTTTAATTCCACCGTTTTAGAAATTTCGCCACTAAAAGAATTTTTTTAATTGGTGCGAAAAATTTCCTAACCTAATATTAGTCAAAGTAACGATTTACTAGATGCTTGACTACAATATATAGAAGATTTATTTGATGGACTAGGAAGTGATAAACTATTCAGATTTCGCTGGTGATGAGTCATTCAATTTACAAGATAACTAACAGTTAGTAAGTTAGTAAGTTAGTAAGTTAGTAAGTTAGTAAGTTAGTAAGTTAGTAAGTTAGTAAGTTAGTAAGTTAGTAAGTTA